TATTTCCATCATCTTTTGCAGCAGCACAAGCCGTTATGGGGGAATAAGCATAAGCAAGTGTCCAAAATAAATTTTCTGAAAAAGAGAAATTTCAAATCCGTTACATATCACCTAAATAGCTCAAATATCCACATCAAAATCATGTCCGGATATGCAGGATTCCGGATATGAAACACTCTGGATATGAGGAATTCCGGATATGAGGAATTCCGTAGATGAGGAATTCCGGATATTAGGAATTCCGTAGATGAGGAATTCCGGATATGAGGAATTCCGTAGATGAGGAATTCCGGATATGAGGAATTCTACTATAATTTACTCAGCTTTTGGAAAGCATCTTTGGCTATATTATTGTAGTTTTCTCATTTTATGTCCACCGTTAAAACATTTCCCATATATTTAAATTTTTGTACTTATTTAATTTTGGCATCTCTAAGATGTAATTCGCATATTGGGCTGTTCCTTTGAAGACAAACATGTATTCTACAATTGATATTTAGTCCTTTCTTCTCGCTTTCATTCACTATATACTCTATGAGTTCTTAGGGCACCTCGACGTGGTGTATTGGTCAGAAAGCTTGTACTGCTAGATCAATTACGACTGAGTAGGAATTCGATTCTCACTTGGTGGCCCATACTTTCGGCCTTGTGCCACATCTAAGACAGACTTAGAAAATCACTACTCTATGAGTTCTTGTAATTCCTTTTGTGCGTCTACTATGAACACTGTTCCATTTGCATATCTTATGCTGTTAAGATTGTGGTCGCCAGTATTATATCCTGGTAGGAAATTTAATTCTCTCAGAATCGCCTCAATGTTCAGGTTGAATAAGTCCGGTGAGAAGGCCCACCTTTGACTTACACCTCTTTCTATTTGTGTGTATTTATTGAATTCATTTTCTATACCTATATAGGCGATTCGCTGCCATTATACGTTCTGGGTTATTCTAATATCCTTTCCAAATATGGCAAAGTTACCTAGCACTTACAACAATTCTCTGTAACGTGTTTTTTATCAAACGTTTTTGCATGACCTCTAAAACATAGATACACGTCCTTTTGCATTTATATTCTTTTTAATATACCTAATGACTATCTTAAAAAATTCTTTTTCAAACAATCAATGCAATTCTTCTTCAAAAAAAAAAAAGAAAGAAAACTATTTGGGGAAAAAAGACAATGACGGAATTATTGCAGATATTAACCTACGATGTTGATATACATCAGCTATCGCATTGTTCAACACTTGATGCCTTTTTGATGAGCCTATGAGCAATTCCGGTGCAGAGACACGTACTCTTTTATTCACATGAAACACAGTTCACGATTTGCTGCAGATGGTGAATTGATTCTACCAATTTCAAAGAATTTTTTTTCTGTTTTCTCTTCTATAAACTAAGATTTCATTTCTCACTTTTAATTCTTACTTTACGTTCATTTCTATTTATTTTAATTTTAAATTAATTATCTTCACTTTCTGAAAATTACTTCTGTGTCTGTAACGATTTTTATTCCTTTTTTCTTATGCCAAATTCAAGCAAGGGAAAAATTTGATTATCTTGGAATTTTTTTAACAGAGGACAAAGAGTAAAACACAGAGATCGGAGGTCGCATTGGGATAGCCAATTTTTTTTTTAAGCATGTCACCCTAAGCAAGGCGGGAGTGTTACTAGCACGAGTAAAGAAGGTTGTCTGAGAAAAGGATTTGGAGAAGGACGGTAATCGAGATCTAGATATCAAAAGATGTCGATTAACATTACATTTGAATATTTGAAGATTATAGTTATCAGGGAAGCAAGGAAAAGGGAGTTCGACTGTTGGGAAGTGCGAGAGAAGAAGCTTTTGGAGTAGAAGAGACAGCTACATTTAACCGCTTGAACAGTAAAAGAGTGAGACCGAGATACCAACCTAGTAGCACGTTTAAATTCATGAAGTTGGGGTACCAGCGAAAGTAGCTAGTCAGAGCAGTTGTCATGTAAAGCAAGACTAAGGAGGGGTGTTTTAGGAAAGGATATAGAGTAGGACGGTGAAAGGAATCAAGGCATGAAAAGATGTCGATAGACATTACATTTGAATATTTGAAGATTATAGCTATCAGGAAAGCAAGTAAGATGAAGGGTATTCTACTTTCGGGAAGTGCAAGATAAGAAGCTGTTGGAGTAAAAGAGACGGCTACATTTAACCGTTTCGACAGTGAAAGAATGGGATTGAGATGCCAACCTAGTAACACGCTTAAATTCAGAGCATTTGCCATGAAAACATTTGTAGAAAAAACAGTAGGAAGCCACAGATGTTCTGTATGCCTTCCAAATGTTTAGCAAGCATTTAGAAACAGAAAAATTTCGTTCTGAACAAGGAAAAGAGTACTGAAGTGTTACGTAAGATCAGTCCTCTTACATAACAGTGAATGCTGAACAATCCCCTCACAGATGAAGAGGAAACTTGAAGCAAGAGAAACAAAGAAAAGAGTACTGAACTGTTATTTAATACTAGCAGCATGGCCCGGCGTTGCCCGTGCTTGATTCAAAAATCGTACGACTCATACAGCAATCGCTATCACTTGACTTAAAATATTTTTGCCCTTCCTTGCCTTTAAAGGAGTGCTCTTTGCCGTGCTGATGTTGCTACATAACTTACTTCTTGCCTATCTCACACTGCGAAGTTTTTTCTAAGCTCTATACTAAACATTAACTCTGTTACAAAAAAAGCAACTAAACAAAATGAACACAAAACGATCAGCTTTAAAAAAGGACTCGTAACTGGAAAAACCAAATGAAAAAAGAATCTCAACAACAAATACTTTTTCACGCCCAACCCAGTTCTGCGGAATCAGAATCAACGTTGAGTTTAAACAAGCGAATGAGCCAATTGGAGTAAAGTGCCATGCAGATTTAAATTTTTCCCACTTGTGACGAATGCAGCTACCGATTGTTTTTGCATTCTAGTATGCTAGTTAACATTCGTGTCAGTCAGCTGTTGGCTCTCACGCTGGCCAATAGAATCTTCTTGCCTATTCGTGGCAGCCAGCTATAGGCTCTCACTCTGGCCAGTACAAAATGGCCGCAAACTACATGAAAACTGCCGTAGAAGCATGAAAAAATCGATCATTTCCACTATCGATGGTAGTTGGGAAATGCAAAGTCGGTCTTCCCGCTAACTTGGAGCATGTGCATGTAAATTTTGGTGCAAATCCGTCGAAAATTGCGGCGGTCCATTCGTTACACACACACACACACACATATCCTGTCTTTTATAGATAGAGATCAGTCCTCCTATATGGCAGTGAATGTTGGACAATCTCCTCACGGATGAAGAAGGGACTTGACGCAACAGAGAGGTGGTTCTACAGAAGGATTTTGAGAATAGCATAAACTGAATATGTGAGTAATCACAAAGTTTCAGAGAAAATAAAAAAAATAGTTATACTTAACATCAGAAAGTGACAAATGAAATTTCTCAACAACTTTTCTATAAATATTTTCATGGCTATTGTTCTGATGAGCTTTCCTTTTGGAACCTAGAGATTCTTGACAAAATCAACAGAAGAGTCTGCAATGTTACTGAAAATGACCTGGCATCTCGGTTTTAGTTACTTTCCCACCACCGTAACATAGATTTCCTGTGCCTTTTCTAGAAATATTTTCATGGTAATTGTTGTGATGAACTTTCTTTTTGCTACCAGAAATTCTTGACGAAATCCAAAGAAGAATCTGCTATATTATTACCCCTCACCTGTCATCTCGGATTCAGTCACTTTGCCACCGCTGTAACTTAGTTCCCTGTGACTTTTCTATAAACACTTTTTTTATGTTACTTGTTCTGATGAGCTTACATTATTAATATAAGCGTACAACTGGATTGGCAGCTAGGTCTCATCAACATGCGGTTGAAATGACTTGATGTAACCGTAAGTTATGCCAACATTTTATTCTCTCGCACTTCTTGCATGTGGAACTTTATTCTGGCTTCTTGCTTCCCAGTCAACATTGATCTTCAGAAATTTAAATGCAATGTCAACCGTTATCTCCTCTTTTTTTAATTCACGTTCTCTTATTTTTCTCTTTCCTTCATAATGTTTTCTTTTTCTCACATTTTCTCACACACAGTAACCACTTGCGTCTTAGTGGTTTTATTGCCTTGCATGTGTTGAAATGATAAAAAAAAGGCTTCTCTTGCAGCTCCTCTGTGTTATTTTATAAGTTTTTCGACTCAACACCTTCTTCATCCTTCATTCCTTCATATTCTTTGTCTTCATCTGTACAGCTCTACTTTCTCTATGACATTTCCTTCCTCCTCTCCTCCTCCTCCTTGTCTTCTCCTTCTGATTTGTTTCTCCCTCTCCTTCGAACAACTTCCCTCTTCTTCCCCTCTATGCCTTCTTCGTCTGAATCGCTTCCATCCTTCTCTTCATCCATGAATATTGATCTCACAACTGGTGTGGTGCTACAGTTATGTATTTAGAGATTCGTGACGAAATCCAAAGAAGAATATGCAATTTTACTTGTCCTCACTTGGCATCTCATCTTAATTCACTTTCCCACCATTGTAACGTAGTTTACCTGTGCCTTTTCTATAAATACTTTCATTGTAATTTTTCTGATGTGTTTTTTCTTTCGGAACCTAGAGATTCTGGACGAAATCCAAAGAAGTATATGCAATGTTATTGGTCCTGATCTGGCATATCGGCTTCAGTCACTTCCTACCATCGTAATGTAGGTTCCTTGTGGCTTTTCTATAAACATTTTATGGTAATTTTTCTGATGAGGCTTTCTTTTTGAACCTAGAGATTCTTGACGAAATCCAAAGAAGTATATGAAATGTTATTTGTCCTGATCTGGTATCTTGGCTTCAGTCCCTGTGCCTTTTCTATAAATATTTTATGGTAATTTTTTTGACGAATTTTTCTTTTGATATACAGATTTTATTAATTTACATACTTTACATATTATATTCTCCTTCTTAATCATCACTTCTTTCCCTCCTCCACTTTTTTCACTTTAATGGCGTTTTCTTCTCTTTCTTCTTTTCTTTTTTCCTTAAAAACTTCTCCCGCCATTTTCTCTGCCTCTGTAAGTTTTTTTTTCCTCAAATCACTTTCTGTTCCACTGTCTTTCCTAATGAATTCTCCTCAAATTCATCTCTTTCTACTTCCTTCTTCAACTATGAATCTTTTTTCTTTTTGTCTTTTTTTGTTTTTACCTTTTTTTATCTCATTTCTAACTATTTTTATTTTTCATTCATTTCCTTCTTCTTTCCCACCGATTTTTTCATTCATTTTTTTTTAATTAATTTCAATTCAGCGTCGTTGTTTTGTTCTTTTTACATTCCTTTTCCGTTATCGCCTCTTCCTTCCCGCGCTTTTTTCTTCAAATGATTTGAACGTCGAACAATTTTATCAAACAGGTTTCATATTTAGAAGCCGCATCAATTTTAACGCTATTTGATATTTCTAAATACTTTCAGGCCCGAGTGATTTTATGGCTTAAATAGTTATAATGTTATTTGTATTCAAGTAACACGTCTTTGTAGCAAATGTTATTGCACTTTTATAGCCGGCAATAACTGGAGTTGCTTCCGTTGCTTTTTCTGACGCTGCTATTACAACTGCTACTTCAAGGAAAGCAATTATTAAAAGCGGCTAATCTATACTCGATATTTATATGTAATCGGGCGTGAAAATTATTTTGTGACCCTAAAGTTTAATTCTTCATAGCTGCGCGGCCATCATTCAAAATTTTAAGTGTCGATCTAAAGAAATGTTTTAAAAGAAATCCTTTCCATTTGACAAAATTTATTCGTGGTTCTTGCTAATTTAAAAAAGAGATTTTTTATTTTCCACTTGCATTGAAATAATGAACAGCTGCGCAAAAACATAAATTGAAATTTTTCGAAAGAAACTTGAAAGTTGCATGAAAATTAACCGCCTTTTATATACCAAATGTGCAGGTGGTGTAGTGGTTAACGGTTCGAGAAATCGGCGAGCAGAGTTCTAATTCCAGTCGGATTCATAACATTCATTTTCGCGCAAATACCCTTTGGAAAGATATAAACCAATCCTTTCTCCCAATCGTTGCTATATTTTAAATAATACGATATTTTAGGTAATTCAGCCTTGGTTGGCAACTAGTCCAGAAGAAGGAAATTTGCCACGGAAATCTTAACGGCGACGCCTCTCGTGTTGAGAACTGTGGCTTCATGTTCCTCGATAGAGAGACTTACAACCATATCATGCTGAAACACTTGTTCTCGGAGGCTCACCGAAGTTAAGCAACCTCGAGTTTGATTAATAACGAAACGCTTGGTAATACTAGGTAATGTAAGCTTGAATGAGCCGATGATACAATGAATAATAGAACAGAATTTGAAATCAAAGACCCCAGCTTCAAATTCAGCCGGGTTCGTTATACTAATCTACGCCCAAATAGGTTAATTAGTTAGACTTGTATAAGTAAACTAGACTCATCTCCACCTAAATTCTTATAATCCGAAAATATTTTCTGAAATGTCAATTAAATGTTCCAGCCCAAATATGGCAGAATTTATCGAGATTATATTGGAGAAGCGGTTCATGCAAAAAAAATTGAACAAACGAAGAAAAATAAATAAAGTTCTATGTTCTGTGAAGAAGGTTATTCAGATCAAGTTACATCTGAAGAAGGCTGGAGAGCCCAAAAGCAGAAACCTTGTGATAATAACAGCAATAATGAGCATATACTCCGACTGTAGATGATGAAACAAGGAATTGTCTGCCATTAATATCATTGTCTTCCACTGTCTTTCCTTTTTCTTCTCTTCCTCTTCTTCGACTGTCTTTCCTTTTTCTTCTCTTCCTCTTCTTCGACTGTCTTTCCTTTTTCTTCTCTTCCTCTTCGACTGTCTTTCCTTTTTCTTCTCTTCCTCTTCGACTGTCTTTCCTTTTTTCTTTCCTCTTCTTCGACTGTCTTTCCTTTTCTTCTCTTCCTCTTCGACTGTCTTTCCTTTTTCTTCTCTTCCTCTTCTTCGACTGTCTTTCCTTTTTCTTCTCTTCCTCTTCTTCGACTGTCTTTCCTTTTTCTTCTCTTCCTCTTCGACTGTCTTTCCTTTTTCTTCTCTTCCTCTTCTTCGACTGTCTTTCCTTTTTCTTCTCTTCCTCTTCAACTGTCTTTCCTTTTTCTTCTCTTCCTCTACGACTGTCTTTCCTTTTTCTTCTCTTCCTCTTCTTCGACTGTCTTTCCTTTTTCTTCTCTTCCTCTTCTTCGACTGTCTTTCCTTTTTCTTCTCTTCCTCTTCGACTGTCTTTCCTTTTTCTTCTCTTCCTCTTCGACTGTCTTTCCTTTTTCTTCTCTTCCTCTTCTTCGACTGTCTTTCCTTTTTCTTCTCTTCCTCTTCTTCGACTGTCTTTCCTTTTCTTCTCTTCCTCTTCGACTTTCTTTTTCTTTTCTTCTCTTCCTCTTCTTCAACTGTCTTTCCTTTTCTTCTCTTCCTCTTCGACTGTCTTTCCTTTTTCTTCTCTTCCTCTTCGACTGTCTTTCCTTTTTCTTCTCTTCTCTTCTTCGACTGTCTTTCCTTTTCTTCTCTTCTTTCTTCGACTGTCTTCCTTTTCTTCTCTTCCTCTTCGACTGTCTTTCCTTTTTCTTCTCTTCCTCTTCTTCGCCTGTCTTTCCTTTTTTTCTCTTCCTCTTCTTCAACTGTCTTTCTTTTTCTTCTCTTCCTCTTCGACTGTCTTTCTTTTTCTTCTCCTCTTCTTCGACTGTCTTTCCTTTTCTTCTCTTCCTCTTCAACTGTCTTTTCCTTTTCTTCTCTTCCTCTTCGACTGTCTTTCCTTTTCTTCTCTTCCTCTTCTTCGACTTCTTTCCTTTTCTTCTCTTCCTCTTCTTCGACTGTCTTTCCTTTTTTCTTCTTTCCTCTTCTGTCTTTCCTTTTCTTCTCTTCCTCTTCGACTGTCTTTCCTTTTTTCTTCTCTTCCTCTTCTTCGACTGTCTTTCCTTTTCTTCTCTTCCTCTTCGCCCTGTCTTTCCTTTTCTTCTCTTCCTCTTCAACTGTCTTTCCTTTTTCTTCTCTTCCTCTTCGACTGTCTTTCCTTTTCTTCTCTTCCTCTTCGACTGTCTTTCCTTTTTTCTTTTCCTCTTCTTCGACTGTCTTTCCTTTTCTTCTCTTCCTCTTCAACTGTCTTTCTTTTTTCTTCTCTTCCTCTTCGACTGTCTTTCCTTTTCTTCTCTTCCTCTTCTTCGACTTTTTCCTTTTTTCTTCTCTTCCTCTTCTTCTCTTTTCCTTTTTCTTCTCTTCCTCTTCGACTGTCTTTCCTTTTCTTCTCTTCCTCTTCTTCGACTGTCTTTCCTTTTCTTCTCTTCCTCTTCTTCAACTGTCTTTCCTTTTTCTTCTCTTCCTCTTCCTTTTTCCTTTTTTCTCTTCCTCTTCGACTGTCTTTCCTTTTTCTTCTCTTCCTTTCTTCGACTTTTTCTTTTTCTTCTTCCTCTTCCTCTTTCCTTTTCTTCTCTTTCCTTTTCTTCTTCTCTTCCTCTTCTTCGACTGTCTTTCCTTTTCTTCTCTTCCTCTTCTTCCCACTTTTTCTTTTCCTCTTTTCCTTTTCCTTTTCTTCTCTCTTCGCCTGTCTTTCCTTTCTTCTCTTCCTCTTCGACTGTCTTTCCTTTTTCCTTCTCTTCCTCTTCTTCGACTGTTTTTCCTTTTCTTCTCTTCCTCTTCGCCTGTCTTTCCTTTTCTTCTCTTCCTTCTTCGACTGTCTTTCCTTTTTCTTCTCTTCCTCTTCGACTGTCTTTCCTTTTCTTCTCTTCCTCTTCTTCGACTTTCTTTCCTTTTCTTCTCTTCCTCTTCAACTGTCTTTCCTTTTCTTCTCTTCCTCTTCGACTGTCTTTCCTTTTCTTCTCTTCCTCTTCTTCGACTGTCTTTCCTTTTTCTTCTCTTCCTCTTCTTCGACTGTCTTTCCTTTTTCTTCTCTTCCTCTTCGACTGTCTTTCCTTTTTCTTCTCTTCCTCTTCGACTGTCTTTCCTTTTTCTTCTCTTCCTCTTCTTCCTCTTTCTTTCCTTTTTCTTCTCATCTACTTCTTCCTCTTTTTTTAGTTTTTCTTCTCTTCCATTTCTTTCCTTGACTTTTATTTCTTTTCACTTCCTCTCATTCCTGGCTTTTCTTTTCTTCTCTTCTTCTTCCTCTATCTTTTCTTTTTCTTCTTTTCTTCTTCTTCTTCCTCTGTCTTTTCTTATTCTACTCTTCCTCTTTTCCTCTATCTTTTCTTTTTCTTCCCTTTTTCTTCTTTTTAGTGTAGTATATGGTCTTCTAATGGGAATATTAGTCGTTTTCTTCTATGGAAATATTCAGCATTTATTGACTCAAAAGGAACGTAAAACAAGATTGAAATTTATAAAATATTTCTCTTAAATCATTTTTCAGGAAAATATTCTACTGTTAATTTCCAGTAATTATGGGGAGGAGTCTTTCTTTCAAACCCTTTGTTTGAAGTAATGTGAGAAGATTACATCGTGATTATTTGTTTATATTCCCTTTTTACATGTGCCATCCATTTTAGATTTTGATGCCGTTGAGAGTCATCAAGTGATGTGGTTTCTGTTATTTGGTAAAGATTTTGTTTGTGATTCTGTAGCGCCAGTCCACAAGGTTCGAAGAAAGATTGTTCGCGATGAGATTTTTTTCCGCTCAGAATTTTGACAAAGGAATAGAAAACCAATGTCGCTACTCTAAGTGTGAAGGAAAAGGAAAAAACATTCTGCTATTAAAGTTGAAAACAAATAAGGGCGAGAAAAAAAAAGGAGCGAAACAAGATGGCAAAAGGGAGATGGAGAAGACGAATTAAGGAATAAAGAAAGACAAAGAATCACTAAAGAAAAGAAGAGGACGAGAAGAAAGAAGAAAGTTAGTGGAAGAAAAGAAAAGATAGAGGAAAAGAGGAAGAGTAGAATAAGAAAAGACAGAGGAAGAAGAAGAAGAAAAGAAGAAAAAGAAAAGATAGAGGAAGAAGAAGATAAAGAAAAGAAAAGACAGTGGATGAAGAGAAAGAGAAGAAAACGAAAAGCCAGGAATGAGAGGAAGAGAAAAGAAATAAAAGTCAACGGAAAAAGGGGAACAAAAGAAAAAGAAAAGACAAAGGAATGATAGGAAGAAAAGAGAAAGAAAAGAGATTGGAAGAAGAGGAAGAGAAGAAAAAGTAAAGAAAGAGGAAGAAGAGGATGAGAAGAAAAAGGAAAGACAGTCGAAGAAGAGGAAGAGAAGAAAAAGTAAAGAAAGAGGAAGAAGAGGATGAGAAGAAAAAGGAAAGACAGTCGAAGAAGAGGAAGAGAAGAAAAAGTAAAGAAAGAGGAAGAAGAGAATGAGAAGAAAAAGGAAAGACAGTCGAAGAAGAGGAAGAGAAGAAAAAGTAAAGAAAGAGGAAGAAGAGGATGAGAAGAAAAAGGAAAGACAGTCGAAGAAGAGGAAGAGAAGAAAAAGTAAAGAAAGAGGAAGAAGAGTATGAGAAGAAAAAGGAAAGACAGTCGAAGAAGAGGAAGAGAAGAAAAAGGAAAGAAAGAGGAAGAAGAGGATGAGAAGAAAAAAGGAAAGACAGTCGAAGAAGAGGAAGAGAAGAAAAAGTAAAGAAAGAGGAAGAAGAGGATGAGAAGAAAAAGGAAAGACAGTCGAAGAAGAGGAAGAGAAGAAAAAGGAAAGAGAGTAGAAGATAATGACATTAATGAAAGACAAGTATCTGGAAGAAGAGGTTACCAATAATGGACAAATGAAGACAAATTTATTTCGGGCCTTTTTACATAGTGTCTATATGAAGTTTGTTTTTTTCTTTTTTACTTCTTGATAAATATACATAAACATTATTTTAGTTGACTAAGATGCATGCTGCCTATCACGTCGTGGTAAATTTCGGCTCTGCTCTTACACATCTGATACCGGCCCTTAAATTACGAGCAGCTAAAGTGCAAATAGGAAAAGAGAATCTAGTGCTCCAGTGTGACCTGCTTTTATTGCGGTTGTAGACAGTAACTACTGATGCTGTCTCTTGATTAGTTGACTTCGTCGCAATCCACTTACAGTTCCCTTTTTTTCTGTGGTTGCTCAAATACAAACTCTTGGAGTGTCTCTTGACATTTTTTTTTCTTTGGGTACTTTCGTTGTTACGTCACATCATATGCCGGTTATGAGTTTCAGAAGAGAGAAGGGTAAAATGTAATTTTGTGTAGCCATCTTTGAATATGTTGTTTTGTTGTCTTGGTTTTATTTTTTATTTAGTTATTTCCATTTTAAATATGCTTTAATCGAACAATGTCTAAGTAATGCAAGCCATTCACAATATGTTCGTTCCTAGATGTTTTCAAAATGTCTGCAGTTTTGTGCTAAATTTGGCTTCTTCTAATATCTTAACATTTTTTTCGAAACTTGGTCATGAGGATTTATAAAAGAAAGCAAAAAGATAATCATACAAATACTTCTGTCGACGTACAGTTTGATAGAACGCTCTCTTATTAAAATAAAAACAATGTGCAAAAACACAACGCACAGTAATATCTCTTTGAATTTTTCTATAGCCCAACCTAGAAAAGTTTCCGTACGATGCAAATGCCGAGAAACGCATAAAAACGAAGAAAAATCCTCCAAAGATTTTAAAACAAAAAGAAATGAAGCATTTTCTACTAAAAACGAACGGTAACAAAAGATGTTATTGTCTGGTAAGTATGCAAGAGGCAGACATATCTCTTTTGACCAACTGCACAATTCGGAAAAAAATTCCTAGAGTCGCCAGCAAAGTTATAAAAACATCCCGAATAAAAAGTACCCAGCTTGTAAACAACTAAAAGACTAATGACCGAGATAGTTGCGTAAAGCACGCTTCAGATGCCGAAAAACATCGCTGTCACAAACAAAATCTACTTTTATTCCTACCATTAAGCCTTGTTCTAAAAACAACATTAATCTTTAAAATATGAGTGAAAGCTCTGTGGCGTATGGATTGTATAATTTTCTTCTGTCGCCAGAGAGAAGTGTTCGATCCCTGTTAAATCCTCACCTGTCAAGCGGATCTAAAATCACCGACATCCTCCCCTAGAAATCGGTAAGACCTTCCCAAGTGGATGCTTGCGGACGAGAGCATTGGTAGCCAATGTTTGTCTCTAGACTCAAGTATGTACACGGCCAATAGTCATTAACTCAATTATAAACACAACCAATGTTTACCTATATACTCAAGTATAACCACATTCAATATATCTTTATAGTCTCAAGTATAAACTCAACCAATGTTTACCTATATAATCAAGTATGAGCACAATCAATATATTCTTATAGACTCAAGTATAAACTCAACCAATATATCCATATAGTTTCAAATATAAACACAACGAATTTTTACCTATATAGTAAAGTATAAATCAATAAATGATTACCTATAGTTTCAAGTATAAACATGGAAAAGTTTATTTATAGACTCAAGTATAAATGCTCCAACTGTTTGCATATAAACTCAAGTATAAACACCAGTAATGTTTGCCTATAGGCTCAAGTATAAAATCTACCAATGTGTTCCTGTAGACTCAAGTATAAGCGCAACCAGTAAAGAGACCACAAATATTTGCATATAGACTTAACAATAATATAAAAAAGTGTTTCGATATTAAATAACCCAAATGTTCATATATCGTACAATCAGTCAACCTAACCCTGACCCATATAAAAGGCAACATTCTGAATGCAGTTTTTTTTTTCTGAAGAAGCAAGTTTTGTTTAGAAGACCAGTCTCTTCCTACTTTTTGCAAGAATGTATGTTAACATTTTAATTTTAAGCGTAAGTAATGTTTCCCTATTATTTAAAGTTTCTTTAAAGCTGAAAACGCCATTTTTGCTGATTCCATCACACCTCAGCTGGTTCACTCTCCGAATCGACACAAGTGAGTTTTTCATTTGGTAAAACCTCAAGGGAATCTAGAGAACAGAACCGTTTCGATCGTGTAAAGTTTCGTCTCGTTCTTTGAGATTAGAACTAGCAACACCTTTTCTCTCAATTTGTGCACGTCTCACTGTTTTCAAGACGAGATCGTGCTCTCCCGCATTGTCTCACCAAAAAAAAAATGGAACCCCATATTCCGCAGAAGGAAGAGAGATGTATTTATAGAAAAAATTGTTTCCTATTCATTTTTTAAGGTTATTATTTTCATTTTATTTCGGGACATTTTTCACAAGCATCTGATCGTTGTTCTCTGGTCATTAATTAACTCTGATCAAAAAATAATGAACATCCTTGAATTGTGTCTTCCGGTGACAGCACCATTACCTATTAGACTACGTATATTTTACTAGCAGACGTCGCTCAAATAAGTCATAAAGTTGGAATTCTTGTAGTAGGATAATGGTGAGTGAGCTTGTTTAATTATTATTACTGAGTAGGGATTTCTATCTACACTGAGTAGCCATACCTCTGTTCTTGTTTCAAACTAAGCTAAACATGTTATATAACCGATAAACCATATAGTTTCTTAAACCAATAATTTCTTTTCATTTTATATGCTGTCGTAATATTGTTTTTATTGCATTAATGGTAACAGAATTTGAAATTCTTAGATAAAGTATTGCCAATTTCCTTTCATCATAATTTCATTAGCTTTTTAATACGTTTACAGTTTTCGAATTTCTTGTCAATTTTAATTTTTAACTAGTTTTTCTTTCATCTTAATTTCTGTTACTTCTTATTACAGTTGGAGCATTAGATGTAAGAGACTTCGAATTTCAGAGATGAAATAAAAGGTGTTTCATTAAGATGGATTATATACGACGGTGTTTCATTAAGACGGACCAAAGTTAGCAGTAAATAAGTCAGTGTTATTGGTGAAAATTTATTTATTTCTCTATTGGATCATATTATTTAAGTCATGGCAATTATGTGCGAAAAATAATATCGCCCAAATGTCCGCCAAATCTGAAAGAAAAAGAAACATTCAGTAGACGCTTAAACTTAATTCACATTTAAAATCAGTTCAAGTTATCGGAACATCCTTTATTAGCATTATCAATTATTAGTTTTCTCAATCCGGACTTTTTAAAAGAATGTATTTTTTTTTTATTTCAATGTGTCGTTTTTTGTTTTGGCTCTCTTCTTTCCTCCTCTGAGGTTTCAAGGAAGTGTTGTTTTTCTTCCTCTGTGTTCGTTGCCCAAATAGGCAGAGGCTAGACAATTGATTTTTTATTTGTAACGTTCTTTTTTCACCTCTCTCTCTCTAGTCCAAAATGGCCGATTGCCCAAAATATCCAGTTTCTATGAGATGCGATCTATCTGCATCCCACTTCGACCTGGCTCTCTTGCCTAAAAGAGCGAAACGTTTCCATATTGAATGGCGTTTCGCTTGTTATTGATAAATCTAACACAGGGTTGGATGAATTTCACAACTGCTTGTAACATTGCATCATATTAACTTCATACAATGACCTCACCTTTGACCCCGAAATTTTCCATGACAGATTATTATATCGATAAATTTCATCGATACATTTTACCTTTTTATAAGCATCATGTATATGCCAGCAGGTATATCGATATCTTTCGTCTGTGATCGATACACTCTGGATCAAAAACATCATAATCTATTATTTCTATTTTATATCTTTTGTATCTCGCATAACTGGTCTACGGCAATATATATATATATATATATATATATATATATATATATATATAT